GCAGCTGCAGGCGTGGGCAGTGCCGCAGGCTCACCTCCACATCACGCATGAGCAGCTGGGTGGGCGTCTGCACGGGCGCCTTGCTGTCAATGACCTTCTGCACGGCACACACCCAGTGCACAGCCTCGTTCAGGTGCTCCGTGTACAGGCGGTAGCAATGCTTCCTGCCAAACACCGTCACGCTCCAGTAGCCTGTGAGGGACAAACCACTCACCCACTGCCCACCAGTGTTGCAAGGACCCCCGGCCAGGCTCAGCACCCTGGGGCTCAGCATAGCCCCTCCTCTGGGCAACAGAGGCCCCTGGGACCGGGAGGGTGACACAGGGCACAAAGGGCCACAAAGACACAGCCCAGCCAAGGGGCACGGGCACCTCACCTGTCTCCTTGTAGAGCTGCTTGTCTGGCCAGAGCACAGAGCAGAGGCTGGTGAGCACAAGGGAGCCCAGCCGCCGGGCCCCCTTCTCGTTGCTGCTGTAGTAGTCCAGGGAGTCAGGCGTCAGCACGAACCAGTACTTCCGAGGACGAATCCAGGGAGTCTTCATGCAGCCCCGCATCTCCCGCTGCAGCCAGCCTGGGAAGGGAACCCTCAGTCCCCACCGCCAGCACCATCCACCCCACCAGCTTTCCAGTGCAGGGCAGGGTCTGCTTGGCACCCGCCCAGCCAGTACCTCTGTCCCTGTGGGATGGGACCAGCCACAGCTGGGGCAGAACCCCACCTTTCACGAGAGCATCAGGGTCATCCTCCACTGGCCCTGGGCCCTTCTCCATGATGAGGCTGCGCATCTCTTCTGCAACAAGCAGGGACCTGGGGACAACACAGGGCTGAGTTCGGGGTGCCCGCGTGTGTCTCCCACAATCCTTGAACAGGAGCTGGCCCAGGGGCTGGGGTGAGCTGGGTCCTGAGGGGCTCTGGGCACCCCAGCCCTGCGGTGGGAACACGGTAGAGTCATCGGGTGCAGATGACCCTGGCTAAAAATAAGCTGTTTGCAGTCGTGGCCCTGCCAAGGAATTCGGAAAATGAACAACCAGGAAGGAATGTTGGCAGTAGCGTCAGTACTGGGAGGACAGGGAGCGAGCAGGCCCTTGTGCCCCGGCCCCCCATCTTCCCCAGCATAGACCGCCCCAGGGCACAGCCTCTGCCAATGGACATGGTCCAGAAGAGCCTCCTGGCACAGGAAGAGTCAGGCACAGCCCCACTGGCTAAGCTTGCGGCAGTCAAGCTATCTGCCATGGCAGAGGAATGGAGACATGCCTGAGGGTGCGCCAGGGATGGGGACGAGCACGGCAGTCCCAGCTCTGCCATCTCTGCTCTGCCTGACAGAGTGACACAGCCTGATGCTCAGCGCACACCAGCACCAGGGCAACCTCCCACAACATGCCAGTCCCCCAGCTCCTGCCCAGCACGCGATGGGATGCCCAGCAGACCAGAGGCAGGGGGTCACTCACCGCTCTGAGCCACTGCTGCTACGAGTGGGCTGGCTCAGGCTCACCTCCAGGGATCCCTGCGGAGGAAGAAGATGTCTCAGCCCCATGGTCATCAACTGGTGCTCCCGGCCATCCCCCCATTGACTGTGTGCCTCCTCGCCAACCCAGCTCCAGACCCAGAGGGACAGGCTCGCATCCTGCTGCCATGGGGCAGGGAGCTTCAGTGCCCCCATGGCTGTGGCAGGGGCCAGGGCTGCAGCTGGGGCACCCCGGGGATGTGGGGGCAGCCAGCAGGCGTGCTGGCCGTGTGTCCTCAGCTGACCCGGCTGGCTGAATACCGTGCAGAATTGCACAAGGTCAGTGCTGAGTAATACGCTTACGGCACAAAGTCCCATTGTAATGGGGCTGCTGACTTCCTGCCCGCGGCGGTGGGACGCGGCACTGGGAAGTCCCTGGCCCTGCAGCGGGACAGGGTCGGTTCCTCCTCGCACGGCACAACTTGACATGGACGGTGCCGCTCACGTGATGAGCCTGGCACACGTGCTGGGACATGAGGCAGAGCCCAGGCACTGTCAGGCACCGAGTCGAGCCGGGCACCCTGGCAGAGCGGGGTGCGGGGACACAGCGATGCTGTCCCAGGAGATGAACAGGAGCTCCTGCCAGCTGCAGCCCAATAGGGCAGCCAGAGGCATGACAGGCCAGAGCACGCCACACAACGCCAAGAAAAAGAGACAGATACTAAAAATAGTGACAGGCAGGGGGGAGCTGCCGCAGGTACGGCTGCGCCATGGGGCAGGGCCAGGCACCACTGACCCGTGGCATTAAGGGCACCTGTCACATAGTGCTGGTGCCCGTGCACAGGGCCAGCACCTCAAGCCACTGTCCCACTGCCGAGACTGGGGAGGGCCCCACATGCTCCTCAGGGCTGTGGGCATGGAGACAGTGCCCAGTTTCTCGTGGGCAGTCCGGAGCAGGCGGTGGTGGCTGTCGGCTCCTTCTCAGGGATATAAATAAACAGGAGAGGAGTCATGGCAGCTCCCACGCTCCCAGGAAGGGGCAGCCAGCACTGTGGGTTTCCAAGGACCCCCTGGCCACGGCAAAGGGCTCCCCAGGGAGCTGGCGTCACCAGCCGCCCACGCCAGCCCGGCCCTCTGGAGCCAGTGTGGCCCTTGGGATGCAGGAAGCCCAAAGACAGCTCCTGCCACAGTCATGCCCTTGGCACTGCCACATGTTCCCAGAGGGCCCTGCTCCAGCCCTGCCACTGTCCCCACTGCCCACCATCCCAAGGGCCTGGCACTGCTAGGGAAGGGGACCTGCTGCCAGGGCCGTGCTGCAGCCCCTGCAACG